GTTTTGGGGGTGTGCGAGAAGCAGCCAATAGATATATCTCTCATGCATCGATGTTTCTCTCCCTCTCTTTCTCCCTTTCTTTCTCCCTCCCTTCCCCTCCCTCTCTCTAAAAATAAACAAATAAAATCTTTAAAAAACAGAAGCAGGCCAAATGTTCATATTTGATTATATATACATAAAATGTCACTGGAGCATTCTCAACTAACTGATAATACTGGTTGCCAGTGGCTAGGAAAAGCAGGAAACTAGGCGGGAAAGCCGAGGAGTCCTTTCACTGTATACCTATCTGTACCATTTGAATCATACTGAAATACTACCTACTACAAAGATTATTCTTATAAAACACATAAAGGCTATTGGAATGAGATGCCTCTATGTACAAAATGAGCCCACATCTCTCTCCAAATCGTGTCCACTGTTTCCACTTGCCCTTCTGAATTTCCTTAAGAAAAGCCAATCTCTCTCTTGACCTGGATAATAAACATACCAAACTTATCAAACTAAACTTGATGTCATGTAGATGTAAATAACTATTTACCAGGTTAAATTCAACCAACTTAACAGGTAGTTGTCAAAACACCAGGAGGAAGTCTGGACAATTAATTAACCAGGGAACTCAATCTTTTAAATTTTATGGTAAATAAAAGAGGCTCAAAGTAGAAAGAATCTATATCTGATATATTAAAACAAGGATGAATCAAATAAATTACTGATGTGAAAGAGATCAGAAGTAAGATCCAGTGGTGAGTGTTACCCTAGTCTAGGCTAGCTCTTTGGCTAAAAATGATTTTTTTAATTATATGGAATGAATCTTTTATTTAGCCTAATACAGTATATAAGGCAGGTACTACAGAAATAACTGACTTAAATTGAATGGCTTTACCAATTTTAAGTTAATTATAAGTGGACATAAATTGAACAGTTAAAAAATAAGTGCAATTGAGTTTTGCAAAACTATGTAACATTGTTTTCCATTTGGCTATATAAGCTCAAATCTACTAAACTTGCAATACTTATTCAAAACATATTTAATGGAACTGATTAAACTTGTTAATCAAAAGCATACTATGTCCAGAGATCAATTTTGCAAATGTTTTCATTTACTTGGTTTTATGTTTATGTTTTGCCTTGTGCCACAAAGGATGTGAGTCAGCTTAAAACAATAAATTCAAAAATGGAAGAATACAATTAGATAAAAATCAGAATCAACAAAAACTAGGTAGAACAGAAGCTCTAGTATCAAAGGGAAAGTTAAAACATCAATATTAAGGTCATAGGTTTTTATAGGTTTATTAAAGCTGAGTTACAAATTTGACTTTGTTTCCTTGTTGCCAAATCAGAAAGGGAAATATAATCAGTCATCTGATTCCAGTTTTGCATGATGAAAAATAGACACAATGATTGCTCAAGGGAAGTAGAGTTTTTCTTTGGCATTTATAACTGAATGGAATTTCTTGCACGGTCTTCAAACAGGTGCTATAGAAGGGACCAAGATTTTAATAACCACATCTCATAAGTAATATAACAGATTTCTTGTGACTGTCTTTATTCATAGAATCCCTCCGTGTGAGCACAAGGGTGGGGGTGGGGTGGGGGTACTGCAAAGGATGCAAAACAAGGGCACCAAAGTACATAGTTTCTGAAGATGTGGCTAGACTCCTGGTCTAACACCTAGAATTGGAGGGACAAGGGGGCATTGTTCAGTCAACCTTGTGTAAACATTACTCTCAATTAAGCTTCTGATCAAATTCATGAGCAGATAACTCACTCTGGTACGTGCAGAAACAAAGGCATTCTATACTACAGTTGAGGGGAGATTAGTACACAACAATCACTCTTCAACCACCAGTTCCCCACATTTGAAATTCAAGGCTACACTAATTTTATTTTTTATACTTTTTCTGCAACCATAACAATTTTGGTTCCAACATACATGAATTGAGCAAATCCTATTAGATATAAACAACAAATATATGGGCTAGGGTAAAATAGGACTGAAATAAAAAAATTATGTTAGGATAAAAAAAAGATAGCATATAGCAAAGGAGGAATAGAGGCTTCTGCATTAAAAGTTTAGGGAAGCACCTGGCTGGTGTAACACAGTGCATTGAGCACAGGCCTGTGAAGCAAAAGGTAGCAAGTTCAAATCTCAGGGCACATGCCTGGGTTACAGGCCAAGCCAGGTCACCAGCAGAAGCCTCATGAGGCAACCACACATTGATGTTTCTCTCCCTCTCTTTCTTTGTCCCTTCTTCTCTCTCGAGACTTATAAAAAATAATTTTAAAAAAGGCTTAGGGAAGATACAAAAAAAAATAGGATACAGTAAATTCAGATCTCAGAATTGGATTCCAGTGATGCAGCTGGAGACAGGGTACTGAGGGCTCACGAGACAGGGCCCAGAGAACCATCCAATCAGAGACAGGGCCCAGACAGAGAACCATCCAATCAAAAAGGCATTGCAGGTGAAAGTGCAGGAGACACACAGAAAAATGCCTCTTCCATTCTGAGCTTAGGAACCCGCTCTTACTCCACTGATTTCAAGGCCAAATGTACCAGCAAAATTACAACACTCAACTTCCATTTGTCAAGTGAACAAGTAAGTGTTTATTATCTACAGCAAAGTAAAAAGAGTTTACTGAAACCATATGGGAGGGCTTTTTTGAGATGTCTAAAGTGAGCAAGAAAGAACAATGTAAATTAACTGCTCGATATCCTTCATTACAAATTTCAGATATGTAAAACGCAATTATCTTTTCTTCTTAAAGGGATTTTTTGCTTTGTTTCCAGGAACCATAATTTATTTTTCATCAGTACCCTCCCAATGTTGGTTCCCTTGATCTTACTAGCTTTTGCTTAAAAGTGTTATTTCCTCCCCAACTAAGAAGAATCCAAGTAGACTACAGAAGCAACAAGAATAAAATGCAGCTTACCATAGTTTTGTGAGAAATAAGTCTTTGGGGAAATATGTAAAGAGGATGGTAAAGAGGTATTAAAAAGGCAAAAAAGGAAAGAAAAAGAAAGCAAATAACTGAACCACACTTAGATAATTTTGTTAAGCAGGTTAATACTAACTCCCAAAACTTACAGAACAAAAAAAATTAAAACAATCAGAACAGGAACTACCATAGTGCAAAAAAAAATGTGATACAGTTATCCTTGATTTTTTTTCAAGAAGACATTAAATTTAAAACCAGAAAGGCACTGAATCTTTCAAACCCCCGATTTCATACCCTGGTTTGTCAAACTTGTAAACTGATATTCTTATACACTAAGGAAAACCCATATAGTTAAAAATGTGTATATATACCATATATTTTGAATCATTTAGGAATCACAGACACTTTTACATGCTTTATTTTTATCTCTCCCTGTAATAAAATACATTATAATTAGATCAACCACAAAAACTCAACTTTAAAGTGAGTTAATATGTCACTTATTAACTAAGTCACTGTTACCTCTGGAGTACAGTAACTTAAATTTTCTTTTAAACATGAATTGTACTTTTAAAAAACTGTTTGAGAGTTTAATTAAAATAAGTTTGATTACCAGTAAGACTGGAAAATATGCAAGCTTAGACATGAAATGAATTTGTAGTAGAAGTTGGGGAGAATTTACCTTATTAAGGGATGACATGTGGTCCTAAAAATGTCAAAATTCAAACTTAAGATGTTAACTGAATTTGACTATACATACAAATAAACAGTTTTAAAAATCCAGTTAAACTTTAACAGCCACAGGACAGACAAATACATTTTGAGGCCACATTTTCTTTAGATGAAGCTTGAAAAAGTCCGACAAAAACCGAACCCAGTAAACGCGCAATCAGCATCAGATGCAGGGGATTACGGGACTGAACTAGACGAAGGCTCTGTCCCCCTGGAGCTTACTTACACTGGTTCATTTTCCAAAGCTCTGAACCAGCAGTCCCCAACCTTCTTGGCACCGGGTACCGGTTTCGTGGAAGACAATTTTTCCGCGGAGAGCGGAGGGGCGGGGCAGGAGGCAGAGCTCCGGCAGTAAGAGCCAAGCTTCGCTAGCCCGCTGCTCACCTCCGCGGGTGCGGCCGGGTTTCTAACAGACCAGGGACCCGTCCCGGTCCGCGGCTCGGGGGCTGGGGACCTCTCCTCTAAACCATAATACCTCAATACAAAATTGGACCATACAATGATCCACTTTCCAAAACTCTAAACCTTATTGTTTTAAAAAGTAACCTGTTAGAATTCATAACCAGTGTCTCAGAAATACAAACCGTAAACCTAGTTGGAAGCTAGGCTGCGCCCAAGGCTGCCTCTGCTGGCCGGCTCAGGGCCCGCGTCCAGCTGATTCTCAACTCCCGACACCTGTAACAAACTTGCCACTCGTAAACACATCCCTCACACGAGCTGGAGGCTCCCAAGTAGGCAGCATGGGGAATACCCCAGCCTCCTGTATCCCCGACATAATCTGACTTCTACAAGGACCTTCTCTAACTGGCCCTAAAATGTTGGACGTAAGGGTTTGAGCCACCTAGTTTATGTACAAGCCAACCAGCTCTTAAATACACAGAAATCCACAGCGACTTCTGTATACCGCTAAAATAGCGCTTTCCATGTCTACACGTTTTTAGCTAAAACCGAAAAATAGCATCAGCTCATGCAGCCGAAAAAAATACGATACCACAGTTCTACCTGAGCTGCTGAAAATCGAAGGTCTCCCACGCCTAGATCAGCTTAACACCAATTTGTCCTCCCCATCCCGCCCACAGCGCGCCGTGGCCCAGGGGGTGGACTGGGAAGGGTCCAGCTTCCCTCTGCCTCCTCTCGGCCACCCGGGCTCAAAAAGAGGTTGTCAGGTTAACCAGGGGCTGCGCCCAGGGCCATGAGCACACCTCGGAATGCTCCAACGACACAGGCGCGAGGCAAGTTTGGAGGGTCCCGGACCCTGCCCCCCGTCTCTTCTCAGCTGCAGCATCAGCTGCGGGAGGCGGCGAGGGCTGGTCCCCACCTCACCCACCTACCTACAGGGCGGGGGCGCCGGCTCCTCGGGTCCCGGAGACGGGGATCGGACGCACGCATTTCTGGGAGTGGTGGCCTCAGATGGTCCGCGCAGGGGAACGCATCATCTAGGTGGGAGGAAGGAGCGGTCCTGGGGGGAACTCCGCTAAGGAAGAGAGGGGCCAGGAAGAAGGAGCGCAAAGGCGCGCGCGCCCCCGGGAACCCGCGTCTGAGCTGGTGGACGCGGCCGCCCCCGGGACTCCTCAGGCCTCTCCCAGCGAGCGGCGGCGCCCAGCCAACCTTGCAGCTGCGCCTGCGGTCAGGGCATCCGCGGCCACAGGCTCGCGGGCCGGGGCCGAGGAGGAGAGCTGCGGGTGGCGCGACGCCGGGTAAACGCCCGCCTCTAGCTCCGCCCGGCCAGTGCCACGCTCTGAGCCTCTCCGCAGCTGCGAGGGCCAGGGAGCTCGGAGGCCAAGCTGGGTGGCTGCGGCTGCAATTGCGGCATCCTCCTGGCCCAGGCGACCTCCGAGCTGGGAGGCAGGGCAGCACCTCTACCCGCCGGCTGCTGCGGCTTCCACGGCCCCCACACAGCCCCAACCTCCGCCCGGCGGCTCCGCCCCGGAGAGCTGCGCGCGCGGCCTCCGCAGGCCTCGGCCCATTGTGACGCCTCCCGAAAGCGAACTCGCTGCTGCCCCGGCGGCCAGACGCGGGGCAGCAGAGCCTGGGAGGTTCTTACCTCTCCTTGGGCTTCATTCCCTACAGTAGCTGGGCTGCTCTAGGCACCATTCTACCTGGAAAGTAAGGCTTTGACAGCAGAGCTGGAGTTAGAGGGTATCCTCAAGCTTTAAAGCCTTAAGTTTCATTCCAGCTCGGGAACCAGTAAATTCAGGCTTCTGCCCTTTCCGGCGGGGCGTTTCGCAAAGGGGCCCACCATCTCCGTCTCCCCCTCCTGCTCTCTTCCCCGGTACAGCATCCCGGATGCTGCCAAATTGAAATCATTACAGCAGTAGGGACGTAGCAGTTGGGCCCTCCAGGCTGACTCTTGGCACAGACCCAAGAGAGCTGGGACTGGGAAGATTTGCATCAGCAGGAGGACAGTGTCTGAGCTTCGCATCCTCACTTGGGTGCTGTTCCCGTCTCTGGGCCAAGGCCAGCCCTGCAAGATGACTAGGAGGATTTGGCCGCGAGGTTTACCCTTACTTAGAGGGCAGGGGGAAGAACCCTCAAAGTAGAGCCTGCAGCTGGTCTGATAATACTGGCGTGTGAGAGACCACACGCGGGCACACTAGATAGCAGCCTCCTTTGGGTTGCTGCCTCTGCTTAACAGCCTCTCCAGGAGGTTGGAAAAAAGCAATTAACAGTGGCGGCTTTGGGATTTCACTTGCAAATGGTCATGTCATATTATCTTGCAAAAAATACGGAATAATTGCCCAATTCTTCACCCAGCATGTATATAATTGGACCTCAGGTTTACATCTTCATAATTTTAATGTGAAAAATTAGGTGTTTTCCTCTTTCTTTAGGGTATCGTGTCATTTGCAAATTATTTTCAAGGGAGAATTAAGCTCCCAAAATATAGAGCTGATTTTACTGAATCAAAAGAACATGGTTTGAAATGTCCAGAGAAACGGACCTGCTCTCACAGTGCTTTGATGCGTGCTTATATGGTTTTAAAATCTAAAGTCATGTTGCAGGGCTGGTCATAGGACCAGAGAGGGGACAGCACTCAGGTGCGGATGGGCAGCTCACAGGCACTACCCACCTGCTGATGCAAATCTCCCCAGCCCAAGCTCTCTTGGGTCTCCTCCTCTTCCTGGAGGACCCAGTTGCTACGTCCCTACTGCTATAAGGATTGCAATTTGGCAGCATCCGGGATGCTGTCCCGGGGCGGGAGCAAGAGGGCAAAGAGATGGTGGTGCCTCTTTGGAAACGCAACATGGGAAAGGACAAAGGGCTGCATTTACTGTGGCCAGTAGTTTCTTTCTTATAGAAATAATTTTTAAAAGCAAAGGAAAAGACATGTTTCATAGCAGTACAAATTGTGACGACATCGCTAAGACTTTCCGAGATGAGTTCCTGTGAGGAATGTGGTGGGCCAGTGCCGAGCAGCGGAGGAGGCTCGCGGCTCTGCGTTCAGGGAGGGTGAGCTCTTGATTTGGCCACTTTCACGGACTCCAGCTGATATACTGCCCCAGTTTATTTTCAAAATTATCTATCATTATTCATGATACTTTGCCCTCAAATCAAAATAACTCAGTTATAGGAATGTGTGTGTAATATTTATGCAGTATTAAATGTACGAGTGACATAATGCTATTTTGGCAGTTTAACAAAATTTACAAAGAGGTCTGCCTTAGAATTTAGTTTCTGCAGGAAATGTTCTTTGAGTTGCAGTTCTAGACTGATTCCATCCTTTCCCCATCAAAAGTCTCCTTTTTCTACCTGTGGACCCAAAGCAAGTAGTGATCGTTTTTATCAGCCAAGACACAACTGAGTGTGCACAGGGTTGGGCAAGAGTGGGTTTACAGTCCGCATGGAGAAGACATGGAGGCTGTGATCATTACAATAACTTTATTCAAAAGTGTCACAAGGGCCCAGTAAACCTACTTGTGCCCACCTCTGTATTTTAAAAGAAGTAACCATAAATTATAAAATGTCAGCCTTTCCAAAACATTGCATGCAAGGGAAGGATCCTCTTTACCATCTTCATGAACTTCTAGGACTGTATGCTCTGTCATATTTTTGTTATAATATTTTATTACAGTGGAAGTACCAGTAAAATAAAGATTTCTGCTCCCTAGCTTAGAGGTTGGAGGAAATTCCCCCTTAAAATTCTTTCACTCATTGTATTTCATTAAACTCAACACATTGATTTGCCTAAACCTTGCCTTTATACAGAGATCAGAAGTCATAAAATCATTTCCTTTCCTTCTGTGTCTGTGCTGTCAAAAATGGAACTCACTACTCACATGTGGTCATTTAAAAATGTGGTCAGTTAAAAATGTTTTTTTACCCCAGGAGACACATTTCAAGTGCTCAAGAACCACACATGGCTGGTGACTGTTCTTTAGGACATAACAAAATAGAACATTTCCATTATTGCAGGAAATTCTTCCGCACAGTGCTGCTCTCAATAGATGGTGAAATTTTAATTGGGAGGTAGATATAATACATAAAATGATTTGGGAAATCTTAGTACACATAGATCAAACCCCATAAGAAAGTGTACTTCTTAAGAACATGGCAATCTCTAAGAATTTAGGCTCTGGCTTTTGACTGCCACTTCACCGCATGCTGACCTTTGGTAAATTACTCAACCCTTATTGCTTTATCTGTAAAGGGGGGATGATAATAGTATCAGCTTTACAAGGTGGACATAAAGATTAAAATTAAATGAAATAATCCATGAATGATGCTTAGACTAAAGTCTAGAATGTGACCTTGAAGAAAAGTTAGCTATTACTCTAATAATGTACATTATTATAATAAAGCTTTTCCCTTTTAAAGTTTTATCCCTAGTATCCCTTATTGTACCTCCAAATAGAAGATGCTTGGCAAATACTGAGTTAATAAAAAATTATAAGGCCACACCAATTTTATGGATATGAGGGCCGTTGTTAAACATGCGAACTGATCTATCTCTGTTGAAGAGTAGAGGCCATTGTAGGCAGGACTGTCGCCTCACATTTACTGGGATGGATAACCTGTGTGGAGTAGCTAGAGAGAAGCAGAGATTCCTGCAGCTCTTGAAGGAAGAAAACAGGGATCACTTCACTTGCCCTACTCCTCTTTGTTGCTCCAGGTGGTAGGAACTGGACCAGAGGGAGGCACTGGGATCCTCTGGTCCAGATACTAGGTGTTCTCCCAAGCAACTTTCTGAAGGGCTTGGGCAGGAATTCTGTGGCTTCAGGAAACACCACCAAACAACAGCAACAGTTACTGCAGATGCGTTCAGTACTTCTCTTGCATGTCTCTCCAAAGGTAACTTTGTAATGAAGAAGCCTGTTTAGTATGGCTTTTTAAAAACACAACACTGGTAACCTCACATTGAAGTGGGATTCCAGGAATGATGGCAAATGCTGCTTTAACAGTTTTCCAAAGTGAAAGGCTTCCTGAAAGTGTAATGACATTACAGCCACTGAAAGTATTGAAACTTCTTTGGAAGTTTTCTCCATAAAGGTGTCAGAGAGGAGATTTATACATTGGGTGGTGAGTTTAGTCTACTGGCACCAAAAAACGTTCACTTTTTAGTGGGTAAACATCTCTTCCTCTTTCTAGCACAGAATGGACTTGTGCTGGTTGAGATGCAGGAGGTCCGTCCATAGGAGGTAAATGCTCATTGACACCTATGGAGGTCTGTGGCTGGCCATCCTGCACCTGCAGAGGTAGAATAGATCTCACTGTTTAATAGGATTGAAGGCAGTGGCTTGTTTCCACAACTGGGACCTAGGTTCCTGCTTCTCTTGGCTTGTGATAAAGTCTAAAGAGGAAGTAGAAATCTCCTTACCACTTGAAATGAGGAGCCTACCAGAGTGTATTGAGAAAGAAACACTGATGTACACAGAAATGGACTGCCGTCTGGGTGCCTGGCAGCACACAGAATTTAGGGCTGATTATTTAGATTAAGCCCAATTCACTTACCTTTTCCTGTCATCTACAATAAATTTTAAAATATCTGTTCTTGGACAGTTTCTTCTATCTTATTTCAGCTAAAAATAGTCTGTTCAATAGCCTGAGAATTCATTTGATATTTTTACATTTTCTGAAAAACTTATTCAAATAAGCTGGTGCTAAGATATAATTTAAAATTCTGAAACCAATCCATAAACTCAAAGTGGCATTAAGTGGTGATGGTGGTTTGGATTTATTGAAGAAATTTACAGTGCAATAAACTACAAAGGGAGTTTTTCAAAGGAAATAACTATAGATTCACAAAGAGTTGCAAGAAATGTGTAGGAAAGTTTTGGGTTCTCTTCACCCTCTCTGGCCTAGCCATTCCCCTGATGGTAACATCTTGCATCAGTGTAGTACAATATCAAAAACAGAAAATTGACACTGTTACAATCTTTAGAGCTTATTCACATTTCACCAGCTTTATATATGCTCTGTGTATGTGTGTGTTGACTATGCAATTTTCTTCTACTGCCACAACAAGA